TAATCAGACGGATTCACGTGAAAGGAAAATGAAAAAGCAGAAGCAAGGCTATAATTATCGAACCATCCGACTATCGACTGCGAGGAGGCTCGTAAACGTTTAAATGTAAATGAAACGCGTTTTGCAGGGTAGAAGGGCGATGGGCTTTTCAATCCATTTCGTGAAGCATTTATCGAGGATTAACTTTAAAGCTTTCGAACGTTTACCAAACTAGTTTCTAGATACGGACGAGAAGAATTGAATGCGAGTCGTAAACTAGTTTGATTGAAAAAGTGCCAACAACAAAAAGTGCAATTTTCGACAACGGGAAACTATAAAATAGAAATTCTCGGGAAACTGTACTACGCTCATTCTCAGTGTAAATTATTAGTACACTTCAAACTTTTATGCCAAACACGTTATATTAAATAAAGTATTTTATATAAACATATCTTTTATCGTGTAATTTAAACATTGCAATATCCACTCACTTTTAGTTTTGTAAATGGCAAAATATTCTTCACATTCAAAGTATTCTTCAGATTTTCCACAGACACAAGAATTCTATAGAATCTGCAGTCTAATTAATTATCGATGAAGTGATTTTCAAAAATTCCAGTCTGAATTCCATTGTACATATAAGTTACTGTAGGTAATATCTGATTTATTGTACATAATAAAGCACAGAATTCCCCTTAACCTTCTAAGTATACCACCCCATGAATATTTTTCGCAATAATGATCCCCGCAGATAGGGAGCAACTGTTTCGTGTCGTCCCCTTTCTCGCAACTGTTGACCATGATGTTCCGGCTGGTTAATACCGGGTTTACAATCGAGATAAGCGACCTCACCGAACTGGTTCACTGGTACGCGCGCCTGGAATTTTTCTTCGCCCCAAATTAATCCCACGCGATCGTTTCTCGGCTATGTGCGACCGTACTCCATATTAAGGCACAAAGTTCCACTCCTTTAACCGCTCTCGGAAAAGTAATGCACAGTTTAAATACAAATTAATTAAGGAATTCTTTTTTATCAAAGAAAGAGTAAGGA